GAAGTGAGAAAGAAACAAAAGTCATCAACCCCATCAAGCTTTTGTGAGCTAGATTTTGAGCATGTAGGGATGCTTTAATTACGTTAATAAGTACAAGAATTGCTGTGGGGTTTTATTGTTTTATTCATTCTGATAAAAAGTTATAAAATAATCAAAGGAACGGAAGATAAATGAGAATTCAACCATCCAACATTTTTTATTCTAAGTTCTTTTCTCTTCTGGTTAAAATTTTAGGTCTCCCAAAAAACTATTTTTAACTTGCGTCCACCTCAAAAATATAGGAGGAATATTTGTAAACCTATTATTAAGTTAAAAACATTCTCTAATTACTTTAAAAATAAAAATTAAAAGAATAAAACGACAAACACTTTATAATCTATATTTTTTTTTCATTCTGATTAAAAAACAACAATGACTTTTTTTGAAAAAACAAACTCATTAACATCAAAATTAATATTTTTTATACTTAAATATGATTTTTTTTTAATATTATTTGATGATTTTTCCTTTCCTCTCACAATATCCAAACAATATCCAAGGATATTTGAGATGAAGGAAGAAATAAAATTTAAAACCGAGAGTAAAATGCTAAAACAACCTGTAACTTGAGAAATCAAACTAGAGTTTTTCAAGCTAAAATTAAGATGGGATATATTTTGTTTTTTTTTGTTGTTAAGTTTGGTCATTGTTGTTTTAACTTCTTTTTTAACCACCTCCTAAGATTTTATTTTGCAAAATTTCATATATGCAAGGAGTATACAGAACGATATGCAAGGATTTCAACACAGGAAGCCATGCTAGTATAAGTTAAAAGGATGAGATTGCACTATCAGTGCAATGAATAATGGATCTAGGGCTAGAGAAACAATCCACGGTGCACAATTTCCCCCCTCCCCCCATAATAGTGTAATGAATTGTGGGTGTGGAGATATAGTACAGAACACGTTAGTTCTTTTTCCATGTCCTCTAGTTCATTTTGTGAGAGTACTGTAATAATTATAACTATAGTGTGCGTGGGCGTGTTTTCACTCAATAATACATGTATTATATACATATATTGCCCGGAACTTTCAACAAGCTTTCCAGAAATGGTTTGACAGGCCAACCAGATCTCCGGAAATGGCTCAACAAAAATGATGTCATGGTAGTTTGAAATGAAGATAGCAGCTCCTTTTTGCACAAGAAGCTACCATGAAGGTAACAAATTACTGACCTGTGTTAGGAAATGGTTCAGTTCCATTCAACAACATTTGGAACTGAAAAAGAAACATAATTCACCGACCAGATGAACCGATAACTGCTCAATTATTGGCGATTGTTACGTCTTGTCCAAAGGTATATCTACTTCTTGTTCCATTACCCCTTCTTGTAAGGAACCCCCCTGATTCTTGCCCAGGATTATTTCCAGCTCGATTCGAAGTTAGAATTTATTGTGGTATTAGTTGTTTTTTAAGGTTTAATGATATTTTTTATTTTTCAAAATTTAATATAAAATATAGAAAAAATTTATTTTATTTCAAAAACCCGCAAGAACAAACAAACGGTTTCCTGAGGCATTAGATCCCGACTTGATTATAAACTCCATACACATAAGTAGAGAGAGTTCAACCATTATGAACTTGGAAAGTGTCTTAGTGAAGTGCTAGATTCTAGCCTGAGTTTATTTATGTCATGGAAGAAGGGCTGCCGCGGCCTTTATTTCCCAAGGCTCCAGATACTTTACGATAAATAAATAAATAAAAGTTCATAAAATGTCTTGATTTGCCATAGAAAATGTGCGTAAACAAATCACATGTGTAGTGCCGTAATTATTTGAATTTTTTTCGCAAGCCTTTAAGGTCAGAAACAGTGCTCTTTATAAGAACATAAATGGAGACCAGCCACACAGTGACGAATGGAATACTAACAACCGCGACGACTCTGAAGATCCTATTATTGTAGAGGATTTCCAGTTATACATGGTCTGTCGAGCTGAAATCCACAATTTATCATTAAATTAAATAAACCTACGTGTATAAAATAATTGATGAAAATTGAATATAACAAAACATACACGCAGAGAATTTTAAGCGTAAATAATCCACGGAACAAGGACACCACGACCCTTACAAATATGGTGGTTGGAAGGCAATTGTCACAGGAATCCCATCTAACAGACAATAGAATAGACTTGTATTATCAAGTGGAAAAAAAAATATCTAATTGGTTCAGAAAATTATTTTCTTTGATTCTTTTTCTTGGGGTAAGAAGCATGTGCTGGAGAATTTATTTATATTTTTTTTTAGCCTAGAGTATATATAACCCGTCACATCTAGTACCAATAATACAATATGCTAGCTGGAGAATTTATTTATATATATTTTTTAGCCTAGAGTATATATAACCTGTCACATCTAGTACCAATAATACAATATGCCATGGCCAAATTGGGAAAACTACAGTTTATTGTGGGTCAATATTAATACTGAGCCAAGTGACCTCTTCCTCCGTTCCTCATGCACCGATCACTAATGTTCATGATGTCCAAAGAAAAGGAGAAGAAAAAACAAAAGGACACATTATATTATACTATATTATATTATATTGTCATACTATACTACAAAACTTGGGAATGTGAGGTTGTGAGCAGTTTTTAATTCAATCATTTTTTTTTGTTCCCCTCTTTTTTCTTTTGATATTGCCCTTTTATTTTCTTCACATTCATCGTCTCACAGTTTAAAATCTAATATTTTTTTTTTTGAATTGCATGTGTTTAAAAAATATCTTAGTATTAAATTAATGCTTATTGTGCAAATTTTTTTATTTTATTAGTTAAAAAAATTAAAACAGTTGAAGGATTAAATTTAACATAATTTTTTTTCCAGTCATGAGGTGTGAAAAAAATATTGTTTCATCCTTAAAATCTTTACTTATTCATTTTTTATTTCTGTTTTTTTAGGTTTCTATGTTTTAATTTTTAATTTTATTTATTTCATATTTTAACTTTGAGAGTAAACAAAGTCAATGAAAATAGAAGAGGAGAGATAGTGGCCGATCAACAATATTTTAGATACTAAAAAAATTAATTTTAATATCAATAATTTTATCTTGAAAAGAATGGTTTAATGGAAATGGTGTTTTCTTATGAAGATGTCATAAAATTTTGATTAGGATTTGCATCTTTTTTAATTATTTAGTTGCATTTTGGTTTTGTAGAGTCAGTGTAGGCTTTTCTGGGGTTTCAAATGGATTTGTTAAGGCTATTAAAATAATTTTTTAGATATTTTTAAATAAAAATAATTTAAATTTAAAATTTTAAAATTTTAAAATATAAACCCTAAATTTCCAACCACCTTCGAAAGTTTAACATTATCGAAAGTAGATGATATTTCATTTGTTATATATTAAAAAAAGCTAGGAGGCATATAGCGTATCATTCGTCCGTTGAACGAAAAAGAAGCTAAAGGTGTATAGGCCTTCTCTTTGAGACCCACACGCTTCTTGGTTTTTCATTGATATCCCTTTATTATTGTTTTCTTTTTAATTTTTAAATTAATTTATTAAAATAATATATAAGCAATTGTTAAATTACACTATTATTTTTAAGAAGATTAGGTCTTTTACCAAAATATTATCAATTGCTTTATAGATAATTATTTATTATCCTACAATAAAGAATTTTTAAAATGATTTATTCATTAATATTGAATGAGAATAAAATATTTATTTTTATTTTTTATTTAATTTTATCAAATAAGTTTTTTCTAATTTTTTATTTCAAATTTGTTTTCAAGGTAAGAATAAGTTTTTACTTAAAAAATAACGTTTCTCATTAAAAAAAAGTGCATGCTATTCATTGAAACACAAAAAGAAAAAAAGAAGAAGAAAAGAAGCATTAATAAAAAAAAAAAATTAGATTTTTGATTAAGAATATATTCTTTTCATTTTTAGTTCAAATCATCATAATTTTGGTAAATATTTTTTAATTTTTGTTATTTTTTTATTAAATAAACTGTTCTTTTGTCAATATAAAAAAAATGAATCATAAAAAATAATTTAAAAAAATATTTTTTTCATAATTTAATTTATTATCCTTTAAAAAAAAAGCTTAATTTAATGAAAAAAATTAAAAAATCACATAGAAAGTTAAAAAAAAATAAAAAAATTGGAGAAGGAAAAAAAATAAAAAAAAACCAACAAAGTCCATTTTAACTTTTTAAATCATAGTTAATCTCTTAAACTTATTACACATTTAATTGTAAATTTAAACTGAATTAAAAAACTAAATATTTAACTAATTAAATGTTATAGAATGAAATAATAAAAAAATTAGTTTAAAAAAATATTACAAAGTAAAAAAATATTAAAAATCATAAATTTTAAAAACAATATAAAATAAAATAAGTAGTTATTAAAAGAATGTAAATTAAAATTTACAGATAAATAAATTATTAGAGATAAAATTAATTTTTTTTTAAATTTTATAAATTTTTGTAAATAAAATTTTTTGTAACGAAGGGATTAGGAATGAAATTTTAAAGATAATAATTTCAGGGGCTATATATATATATATATATGAAAGAGTACATACGCCAAACGAGCAACAATTAAGCCACACACGACTTGTACTTGGATTGAACGGTGAGACGTTTCGGCGCACGCGCTGTCATAACCCAGCTGACATTGTTCAGGCGCTTCCCATTTTTTTTATTTTGCCTATTTATGAAATTCCTTTTGGAGAAACCTCTAAAACAAAGCTAAAGAATGGAAACTGAGTTCTTTTTAGGTTTTGTCTTTTAGCTCTTTGTTATAATTAGGTTCAAAAGGTATGGCCACAAAGACAGAGAAAGAGACTGGAACAGTTTATATTTCGGTGTTTACCATGCAAAGGGAAGCAGTTTTGACCACTCAGAGCAGCCTGCTGCAAATTTCAAGATTGAAGGGACTTGTATCAGTATCATCCACAGATGACAGATAACAACGCAAGCAAGTGAGGATTCTCAGTGACACACTCATCCCTGTTGAAGTGGGAACAATCAGTTTATAGTTTATTAGTATTTTAAATCAGAAAAAACAGAGTTCCTCTATTATTGAAACAAAACACAAGTCCAAGGAGTAACACGTCGTTAAATTAATTCGAACACAACCTAACTTGATTAGCAAAGATAAGTATTTTGGCTGGGGGGAGCTGCGGGAGGGCTTTTACCACAATATCGAACTCTCCAAAAAGAAAAAGAAAAAGAAAAAGAAAAAGAAGAAAAAAGCAGGGGTAATTTCACTAGTGTACACTAATTAATGCTCCCACAATGAAGTCTCAAAAGCTCCAGTAGTCGTAATCACATTACTTTCTGGAATTATTGACAAATACTGATCGCTAAAATACCCAGTACCCTCAGCACCGTAGCCTTCACAATACCAGGACTGGTTAATATTGTACGGCCACGAGTCACCAAACAAAACAAACTCAGGAAATTCCTCGAGATTTGCTTCCAGACTCGGCAACTCAACTATCTCGCTCAGTTCTTCAGGAGTCGCCACGTCACTTGGTGATGATGTCACCTCTGCTGTTGACGATGAGGAGGTGGACTGTGTCACTAGCGAGGATGATGACCGGTTATTATTACTCGCCGTAGAGTCGTTGCTTTTACTGTTATTTTCATCGTCGCAGATTTTGTTGGGAGCCGAAGGGACAATGTTGACGTCCATAGAAGCGGCTTTTGCGGCGGCAGCTTGGACATCACGTGGAGAGTTAGAAGTCGGTCGTGGCAGAGACCCGGCAAGTTCGGGGAAATTAAGGATGGCTGAGTTGCCTTTAATGCTCATCGCTGCCACGTCATGGGCACGTGCTGCCATCTCTGGGGTGGCAAAGGTGCCTAGCCAGATCCGATTCTTCTTTCTGGGCTCCCGGATCTCCGACACCCATTTTCCCCATGTCCGCATTCGGACCCCCCTGAATACCGGGTGCTTGCTGCTGCTGCTGGTGCTTTCTCTTGGCCTCTTTGGTTTTCTTGGGTTTTCTTCCGGGTCGGGTTTAGACACCGGGTTTGGTGATAATCCTGATGAAGATGGGGAAGACAGGGCTTGCAAGGAGGAGGAGTAAGTGCTTGTGGAGTCTGTCTCGGAGCTGGAGTTTGATACCGGCAAAACAGTCATGTTTTCGGTGATCAAGTCACTCAACGTGCTTGTGGTTTTCCTTGGTCAAGAACAAGCTCTTAGGCACCTAATTAGCAGGGAGTGATTTTTTATGCTGAGAAGGAAATGCACAGCGAAAGGGTGGTTTCTCTTTATATAGAGGAAGGACGGTGTTGTTACTGTTGTAGAGTAGAGAGACTGATACCGTGTACAGTACATAGAAAAAAAACAAATTAAGGTTTTTTATACTCTAAATTATATATATAAAAAACTCAATTTATTCTAAAAGTTAAAACTTTTTAACTATTTAAAAAAACAACATGCAATTCATTTAAATAGATGAACCAACCTATCCAGCTAACACCAAATCAAGTAATTAAAAAATAAGAAAGAAATATGAAAATAACAAGAAAAACAAAGCAAATTCTAAAATAAAAATGTTTCGAATCCAATATACTTATTTTAGGACCGTGATATTAATACTGGTGCTGATACTCACATTAAAAAAAATAAAAAATAAATGCTAGCTTCTCTTCATATCAGTTGTTACACTTTCGGCATAAAATAGAAATAGGAAGAATCTGAGGGCTTGGAAGAGAAAAGGAAGGGGTACGGGACAGGTTTTCAAACAGCGAGGGGTAACGTGGAGAGGCTATAAGGCGAGGGACCCCCACAAAGTGACGTTTTCTCTTATATCTAATGTCTTGTCCTAAACCAAAAGGTGGTAACATCGGCCTCAGGTGAGCTTGGACCGCAGGTTGGTAAGAACTGCACAGGTTCATCGTTGTTAAATCCATCTATTTTAATACAAAATCAGTATCTTGCAGCTACAGGATACGAGAGGACTTATTTTACTCATAATCCTAACACATGTGATTGTGACTCAGAGGTTTATATATATTGACGTTCCACCTTTTTTCATATAAATAAAAGAATGTTTTCTTTATTTTTTCCTTATCTCCAACGCATGCAAACTCTTAAGGAAGGGAGAGAGGAGGATGGGAATGGCAGAGGAGTGGTGGTGGAGGGGGAGGAGGCGACCCCTAGACGGTGTGGCAAGGAGAGGGATCACAACGGACAGCTGGCATACCCGTTCTGTGGAATTTTCCGTTATAAAGAATGGGTTATCTAGGCTCCACTGTAGTTAATACAATTTCCATTCATTTCACCTTTAATCGTAATTATTGCCGCTGCCGCTGCTGCTGCTGCTGCTCTGTTCTTCTACGGAGCAACATTACATGCTATCTGACTAGTATTTGAGAACCTTACACCTGCTTTCCTTTCCTGCGTATTAATTTGTGCCAGTTCAGGCTCTCCTTGGCTTTGTCCCACACAACATGCATGGATCTTCGAAATAGTGTGTGTGTGTGTATATATGAAAAATATAGCTGTCACATCGTCTTCAGAATGGCTAAAAATTATAAAATATGGATTGGTTTAAATATTTAAGTAAAAGGTTGATTATTTCTAAGAAAAAATAAAAATCACAATTAATATATTATTTATTAGAAAAGTTATTTTAACTATATATTTATTTTAAATTCATTTTACACATGATATTAGCTACCCAAATTATTTTTGTGTTTATTTATAAGTTATTTATTTTTAATAAAAGTTTGTCTAATTGAGGTCGGGTTCTGAATAAAAAATCTTTAATTTTAATGATTTTTTAGTTTTTTTTATTTATTTATATTTCTTGACTTTTTTTTTATCTTTTTTATAAAACATAAGTTGATTAAAATACCAAGCCTAATCTACATTGATTGCTACTCTGATGAGACTCGTTGACTTATTATTAATATTATTTTTTGCTTAAAAGCATTGCACTAGACCTATAATATCCCTAAAACTAAGAGAAATATCAATCTAACCATTAAAGTTTAAGTTTAATAAGGATATTATGTTAACTTGATCAAAACTTGTAAATTCATTTTAAGGTTAAAAACTTCATGATAGATCTATATTTGTCTCTAAAAACTAAAAATACATTGACCTAACTATTAAAATCCAAGCTTAATAAGAAAAAATGATGCTACCTCAATAAAAACTCAATTGATATAATTTGTTAATTTTCTCATTTTAATATCAAATCGCTTAAATTGATATGTATTGAACTTGTTTGATGTAATTTGTTCGGACTAGCATTTAACTTTTTGTCAGGAGTTCATAACTTTGAACCTAAACTTCATTATATATATATATATATATATATATATATATATATATAATTGTGGTTGTTAAAGGATAGGTTGTCATTTTCTATTTAGATAATATATTCTAGATTATGATTGCTAACTTAAATATTTTTTTAGCAAATTTATCATTTCACTCCCTAATATAATGAAATGTGATATCAAATATTTATTTTAAATAAACATTAAGTTATGAATATGTAATTTGATTTTTATTAAAGAAATATGACATATGCATTTATAAGGGAGGTTTTTTATAAATCCATGCAAGTTTTCTATAAAGGTATCCTAGAGCCTATTAGCTTATTAACTGTATTAATAAAAGATAATTTATATATGATTAGGAGGATTTATTAGCAGCTTTTAAGAATAAGCAAGAAAAATAGATAATTGTGATAAAAGAAACAAGAACAAGGTGCACACAAAGAGATATTCATATTGAATTTTCAATAGTATTATTTTGGATGAATTTATGCATAACACTTATTTACAACATTAGATTTTATAGGTCTAAAGATCACACTTATCTATATTAGGAAAAATAAGTGCTTTAAATAAAAATATTTTCTTTACAATATAAAAGCCTTCATAATTAGGTGCTCATTTATGAATGTTTTCCCTTTATATTAGAAGAGTTTTGTTTAGCACTAAGTCACATTCTTTTAATTCTTTAAGGCGAGTTTTCTTATCATATGCCTTGGTTGTTCTATTTTGATATAAGAAATTATGATCAAAGAAGATTAACCTTTTTTTACTAATTATATTTAGTTGCTTATAATATAACTTGACCTATTCTTAGTCTTCTAAATCTATTTCTATCAACACTCTCAAAGAAGTGATTGTGATCTATATTAGCATCATAACTTTCATTTCATAAATCAATTAATATGTATATTTATAAATGTCTTTATTGTCTTGTAATAAGCATAAAATGATTCTTTTGAAACTCTTGTTAGTTGTCTTTGCAATCCCATTCATTTTTGCCTTGTATAGGAAGGAGTTTAAATGGCTAATATTCCACCTCTTATAGAGTTCAACCATAATTTTTCCATTGAAGTATTAAACATTATTTATTATTAGTATCTCTAATGAATCATGTTAACATATTAGGTATTCCTTAATAAATCATCAAAATATTTTTTAGGTTATATAAATATATAAAATGCTTCTATCCATTTGGTAAAATTATTAATCACTACTAAAATGAAGCAATGTCTATTTGCTTGCCTTATTATTGATTGGATTGATAACATCTAGTTTTCATATAGAAAATGGCTAACGAGATAACCATGTTGAAAAAAAGCTATGAAGGATTATTGATCTTGTGATTGTATACTTGACATTTATAACACTTTCTAATATATTCAATAAAATTATTTTTCCTCTTCTAAGTAATAACCTATTGACATTGTTTTTAAAGGTTTCTCATCCACTTTAGATGCCTCTGATAAGTATTCTTAGCATTTGATAAATTATTTAATATTATAATACCATGACATGTCTTCTACTCCCCCATCACCCCCAAATTAAAAAATAATCAATTTTCAATTTCAATTCAAATAGGTTATGCTTTGATCCCACAATCAATTTTATCCATGAAAACTAAAATTGCCAAAGCATTTACAAATTAACTCTTATTTTGGCTTAGTTTGATCTTATTGAACTTACATGCAAGCTTGGTGAGGTATTCCTAGTAAGACTTTAATTTATAATTTGTAATCTTACATTTCCTTTTTACTTGATGAATTATCAAAATATTGAATCACTATATATGTCAACTTCCTTGATTTGCATTTCTAGAACAATCTCTAAACCATTGATATAAGCCTTATACTTTGTTATATTGTTGATACATTCAAATTATAGCTTAATAGAGATGAGATATTGTATCTTGTTTGGAAAAATTATCTTCATTTGATAAATTAAAGTTTAAAGGCTCATAATTAACAATGATATTATCTGTTAGAGGCTCACAATGCATAGTCCACCATTCATCTTTTGTATAATCTATTTTTGGTTATATCATTATAATATCCTCATCTAGAGAATCAGAGTTTAGAGGCTCATAGTCGTTAATCACACCATTTTTCATTGTTTAACTCATTATATAAATAATATTATATTCATCTAACAACACTTGTTATTTCAATATTCAACTTCATATGCTAGGCTTCTAAAAAATATACTTGAGAGGGTTTATATTTGATATTAGCCATAACATGTATTAAAAAAACCATCATGCACTCCATACTAGTATTCAATATCCTTTTTGATAAGATAGAAAAATAACTTATTCCTTTCTTCTAAAACCACCGTGCTGACCTAATACATAATCTATGACAACTTTAGTGATTGTTAGATACAAGATTAAGTACTTTTAGATATAGGTGGGGCAAATAAATATGACTTTTGTAGATAATGTTTGATCTTTTTATAGGTTTTTTAACAGTATTAATCTCACTTTCTTAAATTCTTTTTTCAGATGAGATGAAAAATGGACTTATATATGGTAGTTAATTAAGAGAAAAACCGAGCTATATAATTTAGGTATCCTTAGAGACTTCAAACTTCCCTTTTGGTGCTTGGTGCAGACATTACTTGAATGACTTTAATATTATATAGATTAATCTTAATACCATCACTGCTTATAACAAAATAAAATAACTTTTCAGATCTAATATTAAAAGTACATTTCTCAATTGATACTTTCAACTAACTTTTTTAAGATTTTGACATGGTCCTCCTTACGTTTGGGTTTGGTGATTATATCATCTATATATACCTTAAGTTCTTTATGTATCATATCATGGAACAATATAACCTTCTTGTTTATAAGTTGTTTTAGCTTTTTTTTAGTCCAAACAACATGACTTTATAACAATATATAACCTATTGTGTGATGAAAATTATCTTTTAATTTGTCTTTCTAAACTTTTCCAATATGGTTATACCCTG